TTTAACATATTAGTGTGTAAATTTATTTTATCTACGTAGCTAGCTAAACTCAGAAGCTAACTAACGATTGACACTAACAGATAAAGCTTGTAAAAATGTGCTCATCCATCGGGTCAGCTGGTTAAACAGTTCACTAATGTTCACTGTTTGTTTATGTTCTCCTCACAGGAGGTTCTGACCCTGAGGAGGACAGACAAAAGAAAAGTGAGGTGGGGGCCACAGGACAGTCACAAACTTTGTTGTTAAAAGCTTTTTGCTTTTTTCTACAGTGGAGCTGCATGTTGGAGGTAAGTAAACTTTAAAGGATTTTGTTGACCAGTTAAACTTTTATCTCTCAGCCTAGATAATGTTTTTTGAGCAATAATAACACAAACATGTTATTGTTGATGTTTTGTGTTCTGATGGCAATTAGGAAGATTATAGAGCCCTAAACCCCAGAGAAGATTCAGGCAGAAACACAGAGGTGCAGATGTCTGCATCAACCCTAACCTCAGGGAATCCAGTGACCTGCTGGTGGGATGTGAGGGACAATATGTCAAACTGACAATCAGGTATCTGTGTGTGCAACAATCATCATCTACAGCCTCAGAGTGAACATGTTCTACTGCTGGAGACACCATCAGCCAGGAGCAGCTTGTTTGTGTCCAGAGAAAGCAGACATGTTGATGTTTCTGAAGAAAAACTGTTCAGTGAAAAGGTCCTTAGTGTGTAGCAGTGAACATTAGACACTGACGTGTCACTTGCTGTTTGCAAATGTTCTTTTGAACTGGAAATTATTTATTAATTTTTATGTAAGAAAACTGCTTGGAATAGAAATACCAAAGTTAAAAAAATAAAACACAATTTGTACTGTAATGTGTAACATAATTTGATTCTTGTTAGAATTAATAGTAATTACTAGGGGTGTAACGGTACGCTAAAATCACATTTCGGTACGATTCAGTTTCAAGGAGGGCTCGGTTTGGTTAATTTTCTGTACAAAAAAGGCCAAAATGTAGACTTACAAAATGTTTATTTTGAAACTATGCCAAGTAAACAATATGTTTGTATAAAAATAAATAAAAGCGACCCATTTGGATGATGTTTTAAATAAACGGCACTCTTTACAATAAATAAACTATACTAACAATAATAACTTTTTTGGATTTTTCTACTTGGATTATTGAGCATGCATCAGGACATCAGGATATACTAACAATAATAAACATTGTAACAAATACAATAACAGTCAGATCCAGAACAATACAATTCAATTCAATTCAAAAATACTTTATTAATCCCAAAGGGAAATTATTTGTTGTTGTAACTTGTTATCTTCATTTCTTTAAGAGATGTTATAGATACTGATGGCTGTAGGCAGGAAGGATCTCTTGTGAAGGTCCATCCCACAGTGGATTCTAAGAAACTGGCTGCAGATGCTGACCGATCCGTCCACCCAGACTCAAGCAACAACAGACTGTTTACAGTCTAACTAAGAAACAAACATGCCTGATTATTTGCACACTTCAAAACTCACCTTTTGGATAGTCCTCCAGCAGGAGGTTGAAGTGACCGAGCTGGCAGAAAACATCAGGGTCCATATTCCCCTCTGCTTTCAAGATGAGGGCATCATAGCAGCTCACAGCCTAAACCAATAACAGTAAGAAGTTACACTGCTGCAGATAAATATTTTGTAAAGCCTATACACAAGGAAGCCATAACAGGATACACATTTTCATTAGAACTTGTCCTTTATGTTAAGACAAGTAGAAAAATTGTATGAAAAGATGTCACACAACTGACTCATACAACCAAAGGGTTGTGTTGAATTCAGATAGTTTTGCATTAACATGCAATACTTTCCTGCTCTGTTCATATACAGGAAAAGGCAGACCTTATTTAAACTACTGCTAAAAAGTAATAAAAGGCTTCAATATGTCAGAGACGCAGATGTGTAAAGCTGTGAGTGGGTTAGTGTTGTCCAAAAGGTGAAACAAAGGCAGAAAAAACATTTTACAACAAAACAGAATCTCTCCCCTTCTCTCTCTCTCTCTCTCACACACACACACACACACACACACACACACACACACACACACACAC